TTACAGAATCCCCAAACCTTTTCAACAGACTGAGTTCTGGATAGAAAGCAGCTCAGCCAGGTTACTTTTCATATAGTTGTAGACTATAGCAGCATCCCATCCTCAATTGCATCTGTTAGAAGGCACTAAATGAAGATAACATGAAAAATTAGAAATAGCAGCACCTCCACCACATTCTGAGAAATGTGTTCCGCTAACAGAAACCACATGGCTGTGTTAACAGATTCATCAAAAAGCATTCTTAAAATAAATCAAATCCATCTTCATCTGTGGGTGACTAATTATTAAGATCCACCTTGTCCTTTTTTTTTCAATAACTACTGCTTTTCAACAAATGATCCTTCTTTCACTTTCCTGTGTTGACTGATTTAAATTGTGGCTGCTGTAATAACATCTAATTTCCATATAGATTAAAAATTACCTTGAAGCCCATTTGCACCCTGATGAGCCCAAAAGACAATACAACAAAATGCTGATGTATGGGTTCCATTAAGCCCACGTAACGTGAAATATTAGAAACACCTTAAATATCAGAGTTTACCTCCATAGGTCACTTAGATAAATTGGACCTCCAAATATCTCCTTGGTTCTATTATACTGTTTTGGTTTGAAATGATTCTTGCCTCTCATTCAATGAGCCTATATTATTAGATACGTTCATGGAGAACAGATCCACCTCTGGTTAGCAGCCATAATAGCTAAGAATGTAACTTTATTCAGTGGTGGGATGTATGTACATCTGATTACAGATACTACTGATAAGTAGTAGGGCCACCCTGTTAGTAAACTTCCCAAAGTTATCCAGCTGGCCGCTCTTAGAACAACCTTCTCCAACAGTGGTGCCATCAAGGTATGCTGCACTACAGCTCCCAGCATTCCTGTTTATCAGCTGGGGCTGATGGGAGTTTAAGTCCCTGGAAGGCACCAGGCCAGGGAAGGCTGTCTTGGAGACATGCAACATGAACCTGTACCCAGGGAATGTGTGGCCCTCCAGGTGTTGCTTGTGCTGGCAGGCGTTGCAGTTCACCAACATCTGTAAGGCCATATATTCTTCAACTCTGCAGTACTATTCTGCTCTTTAGAAAGCATACTTATGATTGCAGTTTTCAGCAGGGTATGAACAGGATTGTAGTTAGCGTGTGGTTGGGCTAAGCTGGACCATTTGTCTGATCCAATAAGACAAGTCTTGTGTTCTTTCATCCTTTGGCATTAGATTGCAGCTCTTCTGGTGATTTTTCCTGCCATCAGTGATACTGCATTGGCACAAGATATCAAACAGATGCAAGGTCACTGGGTGAAGCATTTCACTGCTTCCTGTTGTTGGCATCTGCTGTAACTCTAAATAAGGTGCGTGCTGAAAAGCTCTCTCTGTTCAGTTTCCAAATATCACAACTAGCCGAGGGAGAGAACTCAAACAGGCACAATGAAAATTGGATTCTCCATTCTTTCTCCTGACAATTGGTATTGAGCTGACCATTCCTATATTATGCGGAAACCATGTGTTCTGGAAGCAAGGGCAGCAAGATTAAGTATTACGAAAATGAGCCATGCTCGGCATATAATCATTGGCTTCTGTAGTCCGTGTTTTAGTCCACAAGATAGAAACTGCAGGCAGTTGGGACCCTGAATCATGCCACATTGCAAAGAACACAGTTGCAGGCACCCCTTTGCAGCGATTACACTATATGTGTGTTCCTCAAGGGGGTGAAGTCTACATCCCACTCCCCCTTCTCCATATAGGAAGCACCGATGTACCAACTTGGGATGCAGTGATTCCTTCCCTCACAGCTATGCTGCTCCAGTACTCCTTATGTGCAATCTTCTCCATCAAAAATGGCACATGTAGAAAAACCAAACAAAAAGCAGCCTTTCTCAACTTGCTACCCTCCGGGCGTTTTGCGCTATAGCTGCCACCATTCCTGGTCATTTGCCATGCTAGCTGGGATTGATAGGAATGGAAGCCCAAACCATTTGGAGGACTCTAGGCTAGAGAAGGCTGCTCTCAGATGCTGCCTGGGTTTGTACAACACAATGGGCCATTTTTGTCCCCAGTTATTTTCACAAATTTGTGAATGTTTAATTAATATTGTTCTTACCCACATTTGCACACCTGGGATTTACAAAGGGTTAAAAAATAGTCAAAGCTCCCTATTCCCACACAGTTGCACAAATATAATAATGTTTTACACAAATATTTCTGAAAATTAATAAGAACCATTTTTTTCTAAAGGAAGAGGGTGAGCAACCATAGGGAGCCCCACCAAGATACTGCTGGGACACTCTGAAGGGACTGTCCCCAGCTCTCAAACTGTAGATTACACAAGCTGCCTTTCACAACCTCCAGGAGAAAAAAAAATTGAGTTTGATACCTGTGGAAGGGCTGAGGCTGCAGGGAGAGGACCAACAACCCACAGTGTCTATCATTTTCACTGAGCATTCATTGTCTGTTCCACAACCAATCCATTGTGGCTCATTGCCAGGGTGCGTTAGCATATTGTTGTTGGCTGCTATACACTTGACATCCCTTACCCTCCCTATTCCACTGTGTGGAAGATTTTAGAAAGTCAAGACATTTTTTCTTAAAAAGTGAAATTCATAGCAGTTAATAAGTTCAACAAACCCTACTTTTGCATATTTAAACTTCTGGGTATAATCAGTTGAATAAAACCCAGAATGTTTTACTAAAATGAACTATCGTCAGAGTATTTTATGCTCTGAGGAGTCTTAAATTATTATTGGAAAGATAATTTTTTTCTGCTGAAAGATCAAAAGGGAATTGTATGTGTGAAAGACACAATCTGTGGAAAGTTTTGCTATGTGAAGGGTGAAAAATAGACTGTGATACGTTGACTGGAATAGCACAGGGCCTGGAACTGTGGGTGGTGAGAAAGAAAGCCTCTGATCAAGCTCAAATTTCACCTCAGCCACAAGTTGACTAGGTGAGCTAAGGCAAGTCACTATTTTCTTTCCCATGTTTATCTAATTTTTGTTGATATGAGCTGTCAAGTTGTTTCCAACTTATGGTGATCCTATGAATGAATGTCCTCCAAAATGTGCTGTCCTTGCTCAGCTTTTGAAAATGATATCATATGAGCCTACTAAAATTAGTGACACGATGCACATGAAGAACTTAAATGCTTAAAATGTTAATACAATGGCTAAGCATTACTTTTATGTCTCTGATCAAAAGAAATCCAAAAGCACGACTGTTTTGAATTGATATTAATATGATTGTGGGTAGTACTTGGAAAGCTGGAAATAACTCATGATGTAACTCAGCAAATTCTTGTGAATGGTTGCTGCACTATATACACCGAACACCTATATATTTAAGAGCTTTCCCATGTGCTTTTCATACAGGTGGATACACATGTAGCAGGTCCATGTCTACATCAATGCTCTTCCAAAGTCCTGAATCACGGGGCATTTTCCAGCCCCCTGATCTGCATATTGTGTACAGAGGTCCACTGGTAATGTTCCTCATGAGATGCTTGCTGAAGCCAGGTGAAAGATGACGGTAATGCTTTCTTCCAGATCCCACCATGGTGCTACTGCCCACTGGTTCTGCTGATTCTCTCCTCCCTTGAACTAACTATAAATACTGCCAGGCCAGACCTGGGCAGTAGTCAGAAGCCGGCCTCACTGTGACTTCCTTTGCACATAAGAGCAGGTTTATATCCCATATAAAGAAAGGCACCGTTGTTTCCCAGTGACTTAGAGCATATGTGTGTAGTCTGGTACATAGTCCGGAAGTGCTCCTTGACCCAGAGTTATCTCTGGAATCTCAGGTGACTGTGACAGGGAGCACTCTCCATCAGCTTCAGCTGGTCCATCAACTACATCCTTACCTGAATGGGCAGAGTCTAGCATGAGTAATCCATGCTCTGGTAACCTCCCAGTTAGAGTATTGTAAAGCACTCTTTGGGGACTACCCATGAAGATGGTCTGGATACTTCAGTTGGTACAGAATAGAGCTGCAAAATTGCTCATTAGCACTGGTAGATGTGATCACATAACACCAGTCCTCTATCATCTTCACTGGCTACCAGTTGAAGTCCTGATCCAATTTAAGGTGCTAACTTTGACATATAAAGCCATAAACAGTTTATGGCCTGGATATTGGAAGGAACATCTCCTTCCATATACACCTGCCCAAACTCTAAGATCTTCCACTGAGGTCCTTCTTTGGGAGCCCTCCTGGAAGGAGGTTAGAAGAATGGCTACCTGGGGAAGGGCCTTTTCTGTGGTAGCACCCCGGCTTGGAAATCTGCTCCCCAGAGAGGTGTGCCTGGTGCCAATGCTTTATTCTTTTTGGTGCCAGGCCAAAACCTTTTTATTCACACATTATTTTAAGGGTTGGTTGTTTTATCAGATAATTGGGATTATTTTTTGTATATTTTTATATTGCATTTGTATTTTAATTGTGGTGCTTTGCTTTTGGTTTGTAAGCCATCTTGAAATCCATTTCAGATAAAGACAGGAGAGAATGTGACAAACAAACAAACAAACAAACAAACGAGTGTATCCTCCAGACATGTATCTCAGGCTATTGCAAAGGAAGCACAATAAAAATTATTTTCAACTCTTTTCTTTTCAATTCTCCCCACCCTGGTTTTTGTCCTTTTTTGGGTGACTCTTGAATGTATTGAATGTGATTCTTTGAAGCTGATTGGGAATTCCAGTACATAGCATCCATCCATCTTCCTGCAGCTTGGTCCAAACCTGAGATGGCATCTGTCACCTTCCCTGCCTACTTTCTTGTTCTACCAGCTGCATCCCAGCCTCCCCCACAAAACAAGTGTAAAGGCTCTGCATCTGGATTGAGCTGCCAGCACTCTACCCAATTCTGGTCCCAATCCTGTTAGAACATGCTCTTCTAATCCCTGCTGCTTACAGTAGAGCCCAGTGCTGACAACACCAGAGGACCAGCCCTACTACTGGGGACAGTGAGACGGTAAATGCTCACAGGTGGCAGCAAGGTTGGAGAGACAGACTGTTACCTGCAGCCATGATGGAGGATGTTGTCTCATTGATAAATGTGAAGAAAGCACTGGCTGGCAACCCAGTCAGCTCTTGCTGAAAGGGATGTCATCTTGTCCGTTATCTCTGCAACATGTCTTGGGCCGGTCCTGCAACACAGTCAACAAAAAACTGTTTTCCACTGTTGTGGAATCACCCATACGCTTTCCCTTCCAGCCTTTTCTCTATCACTTCAACTACAAAGCCTGCTCTGTTATCTTTAAAGTTCTATTTCACAGCCACCATCAAAAGTCCATTTGACATTAATAGGGCCTAGATCTCGAAGTTATTGGAAAGAACTCGATGGGTTTTGGACAAGGTTAAAAGGAGCGCTTTGTCAAGCCAGCATCTGCTGAAGTGACACTACAGGAAATGCAAATAACAGATTCTCATTGAACATTATAAATGGCTTCTTTTCTAGGAATGGAGAGTTGGAAAGAAAACCTATTCCCACATCCAAGTCAAATTAGATTTAGATGCTTATAATTATGGTCTAATAAATCCAACCAAATGGCGCATTATGGAAGATAAAAGGCAATGCATTTTGGAAAAGAGCTTTGTAACGGAGTCAGGTGTAAGGCTTCTCCATTACCATTATTGGTAATTGAATTGAAGTGTCTGTCCAAAATCACAGATTGCATGCATGAATTATGCTGATTGCTTGCTACCTATAATTCTAATAAACTCATAGACTTGCACCCTCCCCTACCTCACTCCTCATCAGATCCAAATGAATGTGAACAGTCCTTCACACTCACTTCTTACCAAATGTGGAAATCAATAGATCATACGTTACCAAAGCTGAAGATTAAAATGGGGCAAGGAACTGGGGTGTTTAAGTACATTGTTAAGTACATTTATTTGGAAGAGTATTTTAGAGTTCACTGTGTCTGCTTGTTTTATATGCCATACTTATAGATGAACAAGTCTGTATCTTCTAAAATCATCTTTATTGTTGCTAAACTTTGTAATCCTGAAAATCAGTTTGATTAAACTGTGATTCCACACACAAAAATGTTGCTCATAGATAACACAGTTACATTCGGGCTGTACAGATGGGATGTCTTCATCTACACACACATGCAACAGAAATACAAACACATACACACTGCAACATTTCAAAATTACTCAGTGTTCCTAGAGGTCAATAGCCATGCCCCACCTGGCAGTGCAGTTTCAGTTTTCTTATTGATGGTGGAACAGCTTTCCGCAACCCGGTGTCCTCCATATGCTTTTGTTTTCAACCCCCATCAATCCCAGCCAGAATGATCTATTGCCAGGAATACTGGGAGTTGTGATCCATAACAAATGGAAGGACCAATTTGGGGAAGGCTGCTTTAGAAAAATCTGAGGCTTAGGGCTCGATCAAATGCCCTCTGTCTTCAGTGTATAGAATAAGGTGCCCCAACAGCTCCATATTCAGATTATTATCTCCAAGGTTGCTAGACTTTGGAGCTACAGCATCAAATAATCCTATGCCTCCCTTCACTCACACTCACACTCAGAGAGAGAGAGAGAGAGAGAGAGAGAGAGAGAGAGCTAGGAGTGTGATTTTAGAAATATTAATGATGCTTATTTTCATGTTAGACAATACCAATAAACACCACATCCCAACATCATTTCACCCTGTTTCTTCAACAGTTTATAATACTTTCCCCAAAGCTATACAACTAGCCATGCAATGAAGCCAAGGACAGTGCTGGCTAGATAGCAACAGGATTAATTATCTGGCACAGGGAACAGGGGTAACCTGAACATGCCACAGGTTTTCAATAGTAAGGCAATCTGCACATGCTTAGAGATGGATTTTTTCTTGATGTTGATGCACGTCTGTTTCCTTAAAAATGGGGCTAAATGCATCAACAGGTGATGTTAAGTAACCAGGTAAATAATAAGTATTGTTTGCTTTATTTTGCATATCAGAAAGCTACGCTGTTCTAATTGTATTTGTGCTTTGGGGTTTTTTAGTTTCAGCTATTGGCCAGGTGGTGGTGGTGGTGGTAATAGTAATGATTAAAGAAGTGAATTGGAGGCTATACAATCAACAATAATTCCCACACATGTTTTGTCTTGACAGGAAGGATATTCAAAGTCAGTGCTCAGTTGAACTACTGGTGAAATACGCTCCAAGCTGACCTAGCAGGAATTTGGCCAACATGTTTTTGCAGATAGCTGCTGCAAAGCCACCAGTCTCAAAACTAGTCTCATAAATTCAGACCTTGAGATAATAAAAGCTGTCATTTCTGAATTTGAGAGACATGAGGACTTATCACAGAATATGCTGGGTCAGTAGCATTGTAATGGCACAAAATGAAGCAAATATAATTTTTAGGTAGCATCCCACATGGCTGCAGAAGGAGATGTAGCCCCCTGAGTCAGACCACTTGTCCATCTAGCCTAGTTCTGTAGACACTGATAGGCAGTGGGTCCCCAGGATTTCGGGGAGGAATTCTTTCATTCCAAGACTGAAATTCTGGGGCATTAACTTGGGAGCTCCGGTGTGCAACATATGTGTTCTTCCACTGAGCTATGGCCTCTCTGTGGCTGCTTCATCAACTCAGATGAGAGGCCAGCTCCATTGGGCTTCTGTTTCCCTCAGCAGTTACCCTGCAGCAGCCATTACATCAGGCGGCAGGCAAGGAAGAGCTGAGACAGCAAAAGCAAACAGCATCTGCTCTGCTGAAAGGCCATCGCCATTTGGCACATCCTCTCCCTGAACAATTTCCTCTCAAACTGGTCATTATAAGAGCTTAATAACTTCAGTCTCCCATACAATCTAATCTAATCTAATCTAATCTAATCTAGGCTTTTATGTAAGCTGCTCTGGGAACCATTTTGACTGAAGAGTGGGGCATACATGCTTTAAATAAACTTTGCAGAAGTGTTCTCTGGCATAATGTTTACCAAAAGGAGTACCTCTAGCTGCTAACATGGCCTTAAATTTAAAATACCATGACAGTGCCAGAATATCTTGGGGTTGTGGATATAAATGATCAGAGACTGAACAAAACCAGTAGTCCATCTTTTCTAGATAGTAGGAGTATGTGCACAATGAAAACATTTCAATACAAAATAAAGATCAACAATAGATATTTACTAGTGAGAACTGCAACAAATTGTTGCAGCGCATCCACCAAATACTGGAGTTGCTTCTGTTCAGGTATTCAGTCAGCCAATTCCAACCAAGCAGGTCATTCTGTTCCTCCTATTTACATGCCCCATTTTCTTTTCTTTTCTTTTTTAATTCCCCTCTACATTCCGCAGTTGCCCCAGTAGGATATGTTGTTGCAAACCAAGACATTCCCCCAAAATGCTGATGTTTCCCACTTCCTTCTCAAAATCCCTGCTTTGGCAGCCATCATGGCATCACTCACTACCTTATTTTGTCATTCAAAGGAAAGATGCAGTTGTAGAAGTAAAAAAAATATTCAGGCCTTGAATATTTTTCTGGTTAACTAGGCCTTATGAGAAAGTAGACCACATGAATGTGTAAGGAAAACAACTAGTACAAATCCTTGAAAAGACTCAGGATGTAGTAAATCCCCTTTATTTGTGTTAACCCAGAATGGAGTCTGTCACTTATGTCTCATCTTTTGTTTTGATACAAGATGGAGTCTATGCTTTTTGTAAATTAACTTCAAAGAAAAATGTTTGCAATGTGGTGCATTTGTGATTGTTCTAGCTTGCATTCTATAGCGATTGCATAGGTTCTATTTCCCTCTGTATAACCAAGCAATATTTTAACCAAGGGGCATTTCTTTGCCAAGCAGAGACCCTTGTTGCTGTTAGAGGACAACCTGACAGCTTCCATTCTCTCTCCCTACAATTGCTAAACTGCATGTTGTGGTAAACCTACTTACACCTAAACACAGAGAGAAGTTTTTCTTCCTTCTACACAGTAACCCATTTGCCTTTATAAATTTAAGCAAAGCAAAGCATTACTTGTTTCATTTTCAATTGTACTTATTTATTACATTTCTATATTGCCCAATAGCTGAAGCTCCCTGGATGGTCTGCAATAATTTAAAAATATAAAATACATTATAACAATGTAAATGTTTAAAACCACAGTATGAAACAGAAGTAAAAAGTAGAGTAAGATCTGGCAGCAGGATGTAGATTTAAGATACAGTCCAAGATTTAAAATAGATTGAAACTAAACTTCCCCACTTGAGTGCTATTTCTCTTAAACTGAAGAGGATGTAAGATCACTATGTAAGGAACTTGGTAGTTTTTCTTGGAAGTAAATGACAAGCAAGAAGTTTCATGTCCCTTTTCCATCATGTTGTATTTTCTGGACCACTCTTGCTATTAGATTCGACTAGAAGAAATATCACTTCTTGAAAAACACTTTTTATGTTCCTGCCAAGCAGTTGGTCAGCTACTTGGAGATTTATGTCAATCTGACTTCAGGGCTGGGAATGAGTCAGATACTGCTTTGGCATCTTGCTGAGAAATCTACAAGGGGAGCTGAATCCCTATTCGTCCTGCTGGACCTTATAGCAGTTTTCAATACCTTCAGCAATGTTATCCTTGTGGAGCACCTGTTGAGCTGGGACCATGAGGCACTTTTTTATTGTGTAACTCGTCTTTTTGGGAGAGGTGATCTCGAAAGGAGGTGCTGCAGGGTCCCAGCTGTTGGCCTGGGTCACTCAAGGCTCCATGTTATTCTTCATGCTACATATCCATAAGACCATGGCGAGAGATTTTCGGACTCAGGGATTGTGGTGCCATGTCTATGGTGATGACACCCAATTCTACCTCCCTTTTCCTTCTAAATACAAGGATGCTGTTTTGGTTCTAATGTGTTCTGATGTTAGAAATGGACTGAGGATAGCAAACAAACTGAAGCTTAATCCAGACAAGCAAACTTTCTCTGTTGCAGCACTATGATTGTAGAACACTCTCCCCACAGAAGTACCAGCGCAAAGTCTGTTTCTCTGCCCAGACATTTTAAACTGGTTTTAAGAAACTGATTGATGTGAGCTGTCAGTTTTATGTATTGACTGTCTTTTATTCCTATAGTGGATGTTGTTTTACTGCGTATTATGATTTTTATTACATTTTGTATACTGGTATTGCAAGAAGACGACCAATATAAACCCCTCTC